CCTCAACAGCACTATTCCTAATATAATCCCCAAATTTAAGCTCTTAATCTCTTGTAAATGATTTTTTAAAATTCGCCGAAATTAGTGGCTAAAACGCCTTGTTAAGTGCTATTTTCTGGTTTAAACTGGTGTAAATCGTTGCAAGAAACGAATGATGACTCAGAGTGTACGATACGATAGTTACAGACGCGTTACAATCATTAACAAGAGATTAAGAGCTTAAATTTGGGGATTATATTAGGAATAGTGCTGTTGAGGAATGCATTTATTTTCATTATGATATTTCAAAATTTAACGCCCTTTGATTTTTTTTCTCTGAAACTGAAAGGAATTAAAACTTTAAAAAATATGCAGATTCTAGATATTATTGCCTAATTTATTTTGCCTAAATTTAAATTTTCTTTTTTACTTTTTGAGATATCCTTGTGCCAAAATTATAAGGGGGTGCTGTAATCACCTTAAACAGTTCGAGACAGCTGTGAGAGTAAACGAATGGTCTGAGAGAGAAAAGGCAGTGAATCTGACAATCGCCTTCGAGGAGACGCTTTAGATGTGCTTCAGACTATACCTGTGAAAGAGACAGATGATTTTGAGCAACTCAGAAAGAGTCTAAATATGCGATATGGCCACGAACACTTGGATCATTTATACCAGTTATAGTTAAAGAATCGTAAACAGAAACGAGACGAGACTTCAAGAATATAAAGTAGATATTGCCAGGTTGGTACGATTTGCCTACCCATCAGCTTCGAAAAACATAATGGAATGTTTGGCAGTCCAAACATTTGTTGAGGGACTCCGTGACCAGAAAACACTTCGCTTAGCCCGTCACAAAACATTGGCCGATGTATTGTCTGCTGCTCTAGAGTATGAGGCAGCTACGCAGGCTTCTGGAGGATACAGTAAAGTAAGGACTGTAAAAGAAGAAAACGTAGAAGATAAACTCGACCAACTAGCTAACATAATGAAGAGCTTTACTGATAAAAAATGAAGACAAAGACCATCAGGTGCTGGAATTGCGGTGAACTGGGACATGTATGTGCATACGCTCTAGGGTCCCAACCACTGAAGATAACACGCCGCTGGAAAACTAGAGCGGGTCGGCCTAGAGGGGACAGCTTCGACCGGAAACCGTTCCAAAGACCCTCTCAATACATTTTCCATAAGTCTTTCTAATGTCGCGGGGGCATTACATAATCCAAATGGCATAACATTGAATTGCCACAATCCAGATCCGGTGATAAAAGCTGTCTTCTTTATCTACTGGGTCTATTTCCACCTGCCATTATCCAGACTTTAAGTCTAAGGTAGAAAATAGTTTACTTTTGGCCAATGTGTCCAAGGTATTGTCGATTCGAGGCAGAGGATAACTATCTTTCTTGGTAACATTGTTCAACTGACGGTAATCCACACAGAACCTCGTAGTTTCATTATTTTTCTGGACCAGGACTACCGGGCTGGTAGAAGGTTCTATCATCCATAAAATTTGTACAAATGGAAGGATATTTTCATAAGTAGTCTAGCTTAGTGCTACACTTTCAATGCAAAGAAATAGATTACATCACAAGTGCTTCTGTCAATAGTGTCTTTTAGCTCGTGGAGGATTAATTGAACTGTTCTTTTGAGCCAGAAGGAATGGAGTGTATTTATTTGTCGTATTTGCACTTTTTTGAAGAAACTAATAAAGATAAATTTGACTTGCAGCAGTTGTCTTGTGAAATAAAAATATTATTGTTCAAAATGTTCAAATTTAACATTGTAGATTTCTAGTGATTGCAGTAATTTTATATTTTATTAATATTTGAAAATAATATTTAAAACAATAATAAATAGCTATACATATTTACAATGTTTCTAAAACTTTCTTGAGAAATCATTCCAAAAACGTTCCTCTAGAAACATCGTAGGGACCATTTATGTCAGAAACATAGAAACATACATTGGGATGTTTCTGGAAGAAAGTTTTCAATTGTCGTTTCTCAAGTTGTAACCGTTTCTTAAAATGGTTTACACTATTATTGAACGTGTAGAAATTATTTTTATTTGCGGAGCCCAAAATCGTTGCTTTGCAAGAACGGCGGCCATATTTAACGAAAGACATCCGGTAAGAAATGTTAGACACAAGAACATCCCTGAGTTAGTAGCCTAATTTGAATAAACTGGATCTGTTTGTAATAAGAAAAGGGATGGGTGAAGATTGCTCAATGAGGCCGCTCAGACAGGTTCTTGGTCAAGTTGCTATGACTCCCACTACGACCCTTCGTAAAGTTTCACAACAAACTGGACTGTCGCATGAGTCAGTCAGGAAAGTATCGAAGCTTCACAAATTTCATCCATATACAAACTGCTAATCACTCAAGAATTAGGGGATGATAACCCGGACAGACGTATTGAATTTTGCAAAATTATGACCAAGGGGATTATTAGTCAGCCCATGTTAATAAAAAATATCTATTTCAGTGACGAATGCAGTTTTTACTAAAATGGCAAGGTCAACAAACAAAACTGTTGTTATTGGAGCGACTTCATTCCACACATTATTAGAGAGGGGCATACGCAATATCCTCAAAAAATAAATAGTATATTAGGGGTATATTAGGCAATACTATCATCAGTCCCCTCTTCATAAATGAAAATCTAAATGGTCAAATTTATGCCGAAATGCTCATATAATTCATGTGGAAAATCAAAGGGACACTAATGGAAATCTTAATTGAACAATGTTAGTGTAGAGCTATTTCACCTAAGACTCTTCAACACGTTCTAAAACAGTTTGAATATCGGATGTACTTGTGCGTACATGGAAACCATTTTAAACAATTCATAAAGTGTAATTGTTTCTGGGCTGTTATGCCGTGGCCTTTCTTGGTTATTACTACCAAAACTGCGACAGCCATCTCCAATGGCGTGGACGAAATACTCCTTCTCGACGTATCAACTGAAACTGAATCCTCCTATTTCTCCTTCGCTTCGAGTGTGATATTTATATACGTGTCCGCGCGCGCTTTTTTGGTGTGACTGGTATTATGCATTATGCGCCCCACACACACAGGCTATTTATATGGCGTTTTGGCAGCTAGCGTTGTCGCAAGCGTCCTAGACGCATAAAAATCGCCTAAAAAACGCGTATGTGTGTTCGCGCGCTCCCTTGCTGGCGATCAGCTCGCGGTACGAAAACGCTGGCAGCCGAAATCAGTCGTGTTTGATAGTTGCGTCAAGAAAGTCGGTGAAACGTTTTAAAATGCTTGTGTGTGTGTCAACAATGGCAGAAAATCGACGTTTTGCACAATCAGAAGAATTTATTTCTGCTTTCATTGAATTATTCAAACAGAAAAAGTGCTTGTGGATGATAAAAAGCAAATAATATTCTAATAGAATTGTTAAGAATAAGGCTTCGAGGAAGGACTAAATTTATGTAAGCAATGCAATGATCAATGCGACTTTGAGTTAGTAAAAAAAAAAAAAAAAAGTTTGCGATATTCGTTTAGAAAAGAACACAAATAATTTTTTTCTTTTCAGCAATTATAATTAGTGCACTTGCTATTTTTCTTTGCTTAAATGACATTTTTAATTCATTCTCGTAGGCGAATCGCGAACTACTGAAACGCTTGTGTGTGGTTAAAATTGCATAAGCGTCGAAAACGCTTGCAGCAACGCCAGCTGCCAAAACGCTGAAATAGTAGCGTGTGTGTGGGGCGCATTAGGCGGTTTTATTTTCGCGCTTTTTAATGATGTTTTTTTCCTTTCTATTGAAGGTATTCTGATGTTTGGTTATTTCTATAGCCTCCAACTGTAATCTGGTCGAGTAATGTCTTGATGTTGCTAGTAGGTCGGTGTTTTCGAAAAGGATCTTGTGTTCTCCGTCGGATAGTGTGTGTTCGGCGACTGCCGACTTTTCGATTTGTCCTAAACGACAACTTCGTTTGTGTTCTGTTATTCATGTACCAATGCTTCTCTTGGTTTGTCCTATGTATACTTTTCCACAAGTGCATGGAATTCTGTAGGCTCCTGGTGATGTGAGAGAGCCTCTGCGGTCTTTCGCTGTTTTGAGATATTCCCTTATTTTGGCTTGTAAACAGTGCTTTTTCTTTAGGATTTTCCCAATTCGGTCAGTGACACCTTATACGTACGGTAGATAGACAGTTCCTTGGTTTTGTTCTTCACTAGACATATTCTTATTCTCCCTTAGGCGCTTAGCACGGATTGTCTTTTTTGCTGTATCCGTTTGCTTGTAACACTGTTGTCAGGTGTTTCATTTCATCGTTGATGTGTCTTGGTTGACATATCTATCCTTAACGCTCTGCTTACTAAGGCGTTGATAACCGTGCGCTTCTGTTTTGGATCGATCCATATTGCAGTTATCTTCTTTCTGTATACTTTGTAGCCTAGTTTATTGTCTTCTCGGCTGACTAACAAATCTAGGAAAGGAATTTGTCGATTTTCTTTTATTTCCATGGTGGACTGGACTTTAGGATGAAAACTGTTCAGATGGTTTAGGAAATTCTGGAGGTCTTTTCTCCCGTGGCTCCAGATTAGAAATGTCAATGCCAATGCTTCGGTTGTTTTTCAGCCATGCGGATAGTTTTCTCTTCAAATTTTTACATTGCATTGTTTTCACAAAATGATGTAAAATCCCTATAAGAAGTCATGTTTTTTATAGGTCTCTTGGAACACCAGCGCCCCTGCAGTCAATTCTAAAAGCTTAATTTACGTTTGTTCTTTGGGACCGCATCGAGTGTATGCCGATTCACCTTCTCTTTAGTCTTCATACACTTTATTGTGTTAGTTATACAATATGTTAACTTTTTAATCCTGACTCCAGGAGAACGGTGTTATAGAATAATACTTCGCCGACCACGGACAGCAATATTCCATCCTTACTGTCGAAACGGCGTATTGAAACTAATTACTCCCTTTATACATTTCACGTTCAAATATAATTAAGCATCTAATTTATATTTTGTTTGATGCGTCGGTTAACGCACTGTATTTATTTTTAGGAAAACTTGGTTACAAGAAGTAGGAAGCCCTTCTTCAAGAATTGACAAAACCGTTTTCACCAATGAAAAATATCTTTCAAAATATACCTTCTCTTCGTTTCAGATAAAAAGATAAATAATTTTGAAAATCATAAAATATGGCGTATAACAAAATTATAATCGTATTTATTACATAATTTATTTTTGTTTTTAATAAAAAGCTAAAATCCATTTTGTTTTATTAAAGGTACCTTATTACATTACCTATTGAAACAAAATATTTAGCTACTTACGCTTCTCAGTGTCTAGTCGCATGCTGCATTTTCATAAAAATCGACTGAAGGAAGATTATACTAATTAATTTCGACTATCTTACAATAATTTTTCAAAAAATTGTAAAATATTTGGTTTAATTTTTCCCAATATCATTTCTTCAAAGCATTTTTTTTTGTTCCTATAAAAATAAAGCAATAATCCTTTAAAAACAATACAAATTAATTCTAAATTGATAATCAAAAGGAGTTGGATCATTTGAAGAAAGACTAAAAATAATGGTATATTCCGAGTCAGAATCGTGTAGGGTTTAAAAAATTAAAACATGAACACATCAAATTTGTTACGTCGGAATTTAAAAATAAAATCTCAGTATGTCTGAATTGTACAGGTTTCTAATAAGTATTGTAGTAGTAATATGGTATTATTATGAACTTTGATTTGGGCATTTGATTGAATATGGCGGGATTATTCACTCATATGGACGCCGGAAAACTGTGGATTAGGTTAGGGCCGAGACAATAGAGGCGTGTAACGTAATAGGAAAATCTGTTCGGTGGTCCATTTAAATTACATATATGACTTTCTTTCTCTTTTACATTAATCTTTACATATATTTTTATCTCTCTCCAATAAAACTAACACGAATCCTAGAGGTCGCTGATGTTGCTGGTTTTTTTACGTCGACGTATAGATTAGAACTGACAATTGACAATGTCATGAAAGTTAATATGAACGTGTGCATTTGTAACGGTTGGAACCGTTTTCGTTATTTTGACACAAACATCTCTACTCAAATGTCATTTGTCGTTTATGCCTTGCGTCAAAAGTTCCTAATTCATTCGATTTATATCTGTCAACGAATCAAGTTGATTTAAATTTTAAATTATCTTGGACATCCGATGTACTAATTGTCTTTTAATATTCTTATTGGCCGTCTGATTTTATAAGCCTGGCTATATCTAGACGGTTTAGTTCAAGCTGTATCTAAGAAGTTTAGTTCAGGCTATATCTAGACGGTTTAGTTCGAGTTGTATCTAAGAAGTTTATTTCGAGTTCTATCAAGAAGTTTATTTCAAGTTATATCTAAACAGTTCATGGAGATTTGTATCTAAACGATTTATATCAAGAAGTTTATGAAGATTTATAACTAAGAGTTTGGTGCCATCCGAAGACCGAGGTTTGGTTCACCTATAGAAGATCGTTCGAGTCCAGAATAAGAATCCCTTTGAAGAAGGCGTAGAATTCCATACAAATCACCCTAATATAACTACCTCCTGTTATATCAGATAAGTTTTTATTTTTTCAATAAATCATCTAAATTTGAATTAAGTAAATCTCTGTGAATTAGAATTTGTTACTGCCTTATCTAAAACTTGGTTTAAATATAATATCTTAATGGTTAGTGATTTTCTATATTTTTATCACTAATCTATAGTCAAGTATAATAAGTTTTAAATATAGTGGTGCCCAATTTCTTTTTCAAGGTAATACGAGTTATTTAATAACCTGACCCACTCCCAAAATCAATTGAGCTTAAAACACTATAACAAATAGATAAAATAACAAGTATCACGTTACACATTTGATTAAAATTAATTTAATTTGGGCCCCGTTTATTTCTTTGAGTCTAATTTTGTTGTTTAATTAATTTTCTTTGGGGGGAATGTTTATTTTCGCATATTATTTTTTGCATGAAGCAATTTCTGAAACCAAACTCGTTACACGTTATTGTACACTTTTCTTTCCAGAGGTAATTTCCAATTTATTAAGAAAACCACTGTATAATGTGTGTGATTAATAATATATTACAAAATGACTATAATTATTTTACATTGTTACAGCTACTTTTGTTCATTAAGTAGGTAGATGAATGTCTTGACAGCTTTAATAGCAGCACAAAGTTCCCATCTACTAGAAAAGAAGTAAAATGTATGCTGAGTAAAAAATCTCTGCACATGTAGTATTGGCAAATGACTTTTGAAATGAGATTAGAGATTGGCTATTCCTTACATACATCTACCTCTAATAGCCACTCTAGTGGCTAGTCACTCTAGTGGCTATTAGAAGATTGTAGAATCATTTAAACGAAGAAAAAAAAAATTGAATCACAAAAGGGCAGAATTTTAAATCAGGATGCATTGGAAAATAAATTTGGGAAAATAAATTTGGATTTTAGAGAATGATCAATCTCAAGAAAAGTTAGTTTATCCTGCAGAACAACCAGTAGTTTAAGTAGGATCTGCTATAACTTTATTAGAAGATTTCCTTAATAATAAATTGTAATATACCAATTGTTTCAAATAAAATTGAAAAAGAGTTAAATTCGAAATTAGATTTTTCATGGGTAAAATGTTATATTTATTCAAACATCGTAAGGTAATCTATAATTAAGGGAGTATGGAAAATAGGTATACCCTGGTAAGGGACGACACAAAAATTACAAAAATGTATTCATCTTTAAATAGTGTTTATTATTAATATTATTATTTGCTAGATTAGACGACTAGTTGGAGAACGTCCACCTAGTCACCAAATTAGGAGACTAGGAAAACTTTTACATGTCTGGAGACACAACAGGAATGCACACGCACAAGATACACAAACAGACGACATAACAGGGGTTAGCCTTCAGCAACGTCCTGTTTAAATGATGATAGTATGTCATCCTTCATTCCCTTTTAGAAGGCATGGCATATAAATCTATTGATCTTGATGACCCTAAGAGGAGCTAGCAGGGGGGTGTATGGAATGGGTCTAGCAGGTTTCGATCTAGTTTACAGGATGGGAACTTACTCGACTCGGCCCTTATACATTTGTGTAAGTGTATGTGTGTGTTTGTTTCGTTTCCATGGTTTCTATTAAAATAAACAGTCATAATATATCGATAGCCAGACTAACGTAAGCGACATTTGTTCAAATGGCACTTATGATAGTCTGGCAAAAAGGTATCGATATACTCTATACTTCATAAAATATTTGTTATATCATTTTTTAAATATATTATGAATGTATAACAACTGTGACTTTTTTTGTAATTTGTCACAAAATGATACGAGGTACTTTCTAAAGGTAGCAATTGTAGTTTGTTTTTCTGTACCTTACAAAAATATAATTTATAGAAAAAGAGTTTGGTATATTATTTTTCCAAGTTTAAATTAATAATCAATAGAATTTTCAAGTTTTTTTTTTAGCGAAATTTTTAAGAGTAATACTATGTGCACTGCATACATTAAACTGTTTAAAACTAACCTTTTTTAAAATGATTATTTATATGATAAAAAATTTGATGTTATTGGAAGCTTTTACATTTTTTAATATACAGTGAAAGAATAGTTTTTGTTTCTCCTGTAAATTTGTATAGAAAAACTATTTCTGAATTAATGTTTGAATTTCCCGCCCTAAAGTATTTTTAAATTTTCCTGCTATTTACTAGTGGCGCCACCATATACTGGTTGTGGTTACAATCGCCCAAACAACTTTTACCGAACAAAAAAATACATTGAGTTACACGTCTCGCTGGGTTATCTCTGGTTAGGGTTACATTGGATGCGTACTCTGACGACCATCGAGTCGGACGTACCAATGAACTGGAGTGGGGTAAAATGCTTGTCAATAGGCTTGAGATGCGAGTCTATGGGCCCAGCCATTTTATTTTTCATCTCACACGGGAGTATTTATAATAACCATGTTCTATTTCACATTGTTATTATCTAGTCCACCAGATTGTGGACTAGACGATAACAATGTGAAACAGAAAATCGTTATTATAAAATAAATACACACCTAGTTCTATTGATACAACATGCACATTGGCATTCTACGCCACTCCAATTCATTGGGACGTACTCGTGAAGTGAGTAATTAGATGAATAAATCAAACACCGTCATTTTGAACTGGTTATATTACATGCGGAAGAGTCGTTTTTTACGCGCGCGTACGTACGACCCAATTAGACTACGGTTACATTGGATGCGTATTCTGACGATCGAGTCGGACGTACACGGATGACTTTGGTCGTACGACATAAGTTGTTTAAATATATGCATTTATTTGCAACTATTTTCAATTAAAAAAAAGATTGCCGCAGATAAAAAATATTTATTGGAACATCATTTTTAACTTCTCTTCATGTATATAAACGCTGGAATAACATGGATAAATGATATGTACATAAACAGACAAGTAAATGGCGAGATTTGTTTGATAATCTTTATTTGTTTGATCCCACAGTGAGTTTCTTTCAAAACCACCCAAAATTATTTTTTCTAGATCCTTTTTTATTTTCTAATCATATAATTCAAAATAAATGGAAACTTTATTCATACTGTGACGAAGTCATTAATTTTCCTTTTGTATAATTTTAAAAATGTTTAGTACAAATTAATTTCCACCTCTTGGCGTTCTTATTTCCTAGAAATTCCCGTTTTTGAAACATATGCGAGAGCCCACGTATTTCAAAATATTAATATTTCATTATTTACTGAAATTCGAATCCAGCTTTAAACACTCAAGATCAGGTAATTTTTCAGTCCTCCCATTTGTAAACATTGGCTACTCCCACTCCGACCCACCTCGGAAACCGAACTTTGTCCGATCGTAAAATATAAAACTAGCTTCCGCGAGGATTCTAGCTTTCTGTCGTTAATTTTTGACCGACATGGCTACCGTACCGTACGTGAAAGTGAAATAAACCGGCTGTTGTGAATACCGCCGCTTTGAAAAATTTAAAGGTGTGTTTTGCAAGCAGCGATTGTGGCGATAATCGCATAGTGATAATCGCGGATACTGGTAGATAATATTAAAAAAGTACGTTTTGCAACCAGCGACTCTTGCGATGGTCGCTGGGTAATGGTCGCTCAGCGATCAGCGCTGGGCACTGATAGATGTTATTTTATATACTTCCGTTTTCCTATGAGCGATCATAACAATAGTCTAGCGTCGATAGCGAATATGG